AGGAGGTACCAGATGGGTGGACAATGGCGAAGGGTAGGTCTCCTGAGTTCTGGAGACTGAGGTCTTCTCCCTGCTGATCCTGCTCATGTAGCGGCATCTCTGGGGAAGCTGAGCATAACAGGCCACCCTCAGAAGGGTGCTGGGATACGCAGTGGGGGGAAGCTGCTGTTTCTGGATAGCTCAGTGACAGGCCATTGAGGACAGGAAGGGGAGTGGGGCTGGCTTGATGCTCATAGCTATTGCTGCCTGTATAGAGGCGACATGGGGCCTGGGTAACAGGTGGGAAACAAAAGAATCACACAGCTCGAGAGAGCAGAGATCCCTGCTTGTGCAGGGGAAGCTGAAGATTGCTGCTGTGCCTTGGATCTTTCCTCCCACCCCTCTGCTTCCTGTGTTAGGTTGCTGTACTTATTTGCAGAGAATAAAAATAATAGACTCCCTACTCTTAGAGTGAAAAAGAACCAACTCCTGATGTACACACACTGAGGGAAAAGGAGCAGAGGATGGAGAGCAAAGGGGAAACACTGCAACAAATTGTGTGGTGGGAGAGGAGCAACGAGACAGTAAAAAAAGGGATAAGAGAAGAATAGTTTAAAAATGTCCTACTTGGTCTAGTCTAGGTCACTCCAACAATTGCTCCACCTGTCCTCCCCCCTCTGAGCTCCCATGTTGGGGGATGATCCTCCACTCTGCTTGGAGACCAGGGAGTCTGGAGAATTGATAGGGGCCTGTTCCTGTCTATCAGGCAGTGCCCCGTCATCAAGATCTCAGAGTGCAGGAAGAGCTAGTGTAGGAATATTCCTGATGGTGCAGAAATCCCAGGAGCGGAGCTCCCACACTGAAGGCAGGAGACTAGACTCATAGACTTTAAGGTCAGAAGGGACCATTATGATCATCTAGTCTGACCTCCTGCACAATGCAGGCCACAGAATCTCACCCACCCACTCCTGTAACAAACCCCTAACCTATGTCTGAGTTATTGAAGTCCTCAAATCGTGGTTTAAAGACCTCATATAGGGAGGAACAGGGTGGTGGCACTTACCAAGAGGAACCTAGCTGGATGGAGGGAAAAGGAATGAAGGCGATAGAACTAAGCATAGAAAGGGAAAAGGGGGAGGCTGGGGAAAGAGAACAGTTGGTGACTTAGCATGACTAGTGCCTTGTAGTCATATACACAGGAGATTGCTTAAGTGTTTCTACCACACCCCCTGGAGTTTTCACAAGGGACACGAGGACAGCCCCTTTCTCTTATGGAAAAGTACTTGGGCTTTTCAGTGCTTGTAGGCAGGCAGAACCTCACTTTGAGAGACAATCTGCATGGAGTTCAGTTGCTCAACCTCTGAAGACAGAGTGGCTGAGTCACTTCTGCTGAACAGGGAGTGTAGGTATTTCAAGCATGAGGCTTGGGCCCCTAAATCATCCCCTCTAGCTAAGATAAGAGACAGAATAGAAGAGAAAAAACAAGTAATAGGTGCAAGGCACTATCCACTAACAGCAGAGAACCACCTTTTAAGCTGCTCCTGGACAGAGCACTTTGGCTCATACCCACAAAGGTATTTAGGCTCCTAACTTTCCTATTGGGCAAGCAGGAGCAACAGGATTCAACCAGCTAGGGCCTAGCTTTCACAAGTGCTGAACACCCTTCTCTCCAGCTGAAGCCAGTCGTCACTACAGATTTTCAGCACCTCTGGAAGTGAGGCCCAAAGACGCTTCACTATCATGTCACTCCTGACCTTTCTGTGTCTCTGGGTAAGCAGAGAAGGGATAACCGTCCTAGGAGGAGAAAGAGAATAGCCGTTAAACAAAACAAGTGCAGGCAGATCAGAGCAGTGGCAGAGCATGTTAGTTTGAGAGAATTCATCAAGTAGATCTGCAGAGGAAGAAAGAGAAGGGAGGACACTATTACCTCTCATTTCCTCACAGATGAGAAGGAAGACAGAAAAGAGGGAAGAATAAAGGCCAAAAATAATGTGGGTGTGGGGAGCAAGTGGGAAAAGAAATCTAAAGTGACAGGAGGAGGTAAGGGAAGAACCTGTTAGAGAAAGAGAGATGAAAACAAGGAGTTACTTAACATGGGGGAAGAGATGGTATGTAAGACTTTTAGCTCCCCACCTAAGCCCTGCTTCCACAGTGAGCTCCCTAGGGGCCACAGGGATCTCGCAGAGCTCATTATAGGGCCATAAATAGCACTGATAATTAGCTGGAGAGAGGAACTCAAACACCTTTCCCCAACACATCAGAATCCTTCATCCCCTTACCACAGGGAGGAACAAAAGACTAATTCCCCACCGAAGAAACTAAAACAAGATCCGTATGGTGTCAGTTGTACTCTAGTATTATGAGTTTATTGTAAAGGAAGACAGCTAATTGCCTACATCTTCCACTATAACATGGCACACAGGGGAGAAGAATACCTTAATCACATGCCCTTTATAATGGAGACCAAGAAGGATGAGCATGCTAAGTAGGGCAGGTTCTTGAAAAAGCCAATCTGGGGGCCAATAAATACAGCTGCTCTGGCCTAGGCCCCTTTGGCTCTGTTTGGATTCAAAGGAAGGTATGGAGGAGGAAAAGCTGCTGAGTGAATCTCTGAGCTCAGAGAGGAGGAGGATGGGGAATCAGGGAAGGTTTTGCTCTGTTATGATGTTTCTATTTTATAGATTGTTTCTATAATATATTTCTCCACTTACCATTTTTAATGTTTTGGGATAGCAGATAATTTTTTGTTTCGTACACAGTAACTTAATCCCTTTGACTAACTAGATTCTGATATTATGGCAATGAGATGGGTCACAGACTTCTAAAAATTAAAATCCCTGCCTTCCAAGCTTCTGCTTTTGGCTGCTTGTTTTGGGGGAGTGGGTGACTACTATGCAATGTGTGATAAATCTGGCTGTTAATGTTAGTCAGTATAAGTCCTAGCCTCAGTTGGTATTAATGATTATACCTCAGTTGACACTAGTAGAGCTCTACCATTCTGTGTCAGCTGTGGGACTAGCTGTGTCTGCTCCTTCGGAATGAGCTTTAAGAACATGAGTCTATGTACCGTAGTAGTATTTACCTGCAACACAGAGATGCTTGGAACTGTATGCTAGATTTAGAACAACAGCGTGCTCCCATCTTCTCATGTTAGAGTGGAGGGATTATTTATGCTTTCCAGTAGGATTTCCCTGTTGTATGCTATACTTCTTGTGCTAGGAGACCGTCTCTGGGGGACTGCATTGTTACAGACTCGCCTCTATGGAAAAACTCCCCTTTATTTGGGATCCCTAACTTACTCTCTCCATCTTTAATTATGTTAAAAAAAAATGATGTGGGGAAGACAGAATTAGAAGTATGAGGAAGAATTAGCTGTAGTACGCAGTGCTTGTTCCTAACTATTCCACTCTGGTTTGGGCCAGTGTAGGAGGAGAATGTTAATGAACTTGACCTAGGTAGCATGACTTGAAATACCACTTGGCACCTAGAGTAGATCCAGTTTAACACCTTCAAAAACATGTTAGTTGCTCACTGTCTATATCTCCCCTTCGGGTAGACCACAGCTAGTGAACACGATTTGAAAAGTGATCACGCCTGGTGTGGACACAGCTGAAGTGGTGTTTCAAATAATGTTTAACTCTAAAAAACACCCTTCTTTGCTAGTGTAGATTAGACTTCTATGGGTCTGATTCATCACTGCATTGTGTATAGTCACCTCCACTAACCAATCAGAATGAGGGCATTGTCACCCACACTGCACTGCAGTCAAATTGTGTAGTCACTTACACACGGTGTAGGGTAACAAGCTAGCCAAATGTAGACCTAGATAGTACAGTGGTACTTTCCAGGGTAGTAAGTGTTTGTAGAATCAGCCTGCTAAACTGCAAGATTTATGGGTTTAGGCTTAGCTATTTGTTTTGGCATATTTTTACCTATTGTAAAGTATTGTGTATAAAGACTGTGGAACCCCTCTGACCTGTAATACAGGTTTACTGTATATAGATCATAACTTGTAATATGATTGTGGAACAAAAAACACCATGCATCTCAGATGCTTGTAACTCAAAATTGCTCTTTTGGGGCTGACAGCAACGGCTGAACATAAAAATACAGAAACCACAAAAAAATGTGCCCAGCCACTTACTGGTGTGTATTACCTTTCCAAGGCTACAGTGTTGCCATATCCTGATTCATGCAAACAATTCAAACGCTGCCTCTGCTCTGTGTGGTACCTGCTTTTGCTAACCGTACAGGAAGGGGGTTGGTAGGTTAAAAAATGACAAAATGCCCCCTGGAGCATGCAGAGCAGAGCATGCCATCTGAATGTCTCCCACTGCCCATAGCTCTGCACTCTGCACCAGGTGAACTGGTGAGAGTCTGATTCATGTCTGAATGGTGCTGGATCCTTCCAGCCCCATGAACTTTGCTTTCCAGTAAACTGGTTTTTGACTGAGAGATTTTTGTTAACATGGAACCTGTCCATTCCCATGACTCTCCTCCTCTCCATATGTACTCTTATGAGAGATCACTAGGTCCTAGACTCATATCAGACTTCCCATGCTCTCCCTGAAGTACACACATGTACTGTGCCGTTCGGACACCAGTGCAATATTTACAAAATGGTCCCCATTGCCTTTGGAAAGTGCACACTGTCACGTAGCCAAAAAGAGCCTCCCTCTCTTCTCACTGGGTCAAACAGTTGCCTAAAAACCACAAGGGTCTTGGCTGACTGTTGCAATAACTCTGTAGGATGCACATACCATCCAGCCACCGGATAGGGGCCTCTGCTGGGTTAGTCTGGCCACTACCTGATCTATCTCAACATTGCAAATATGGAGTTAGTGTCTGTAACCTTTCAACATCGGCCATGTGTAAAAAGAGCAAGTTGCACAACTGTAACTTGTGGCGCAGAGGGTTATAAATCCAGCTGCCCAAGCATAACTGGTTGGGTTTGAAGAGGGAATGTTGGGTTTGTTGTTCTGCTTCAGAAATTACTTACTGTCATCTTGTTAAATCTTCAGGTCTTGCATCAGCATTTAAAATGGACCTTGACATCCAGTGTGAAGAGATGAGTGCGTCCAGATGGACCGAGCTTAAATCTTCCATGAACACGAGCAAAACTGTCAGGTAGTACCAGTTTTTCCCCCTAGAAGAGACTATATAGCAACTAAGCTGAATAGTTTCCTAAAGCCGTGGTTCTCAACCAGGGGTCTGGGGGCTGTGAGCAGGTTTCAGGGGGGCCGCCAAGCAGGGCTGGCATTAGACTTGCTGGGGCCCAGAGTAGAAAGCCAAACCCCCACCACATGGGGCTGAAGCCCAGGGCCCCAAGCCCCGCCACCCGAGGCTGAAGACTGAGCAATTTAGCTTTCCGGGCCCCCTGGCAGTTGCCCTGCTTGCTACCCCCTAATGCTTGTCCTGGCTTTTATATGCAGAAAAACAGTTGTCACAGGTGGGCCGGGGAGTTTTTATAGCATGCTGTGGGGGCCTCAGAAAGAAAAAGGTTGAGAACCCCTGTCCTAAAGGGTGGAGGGAGGAGTCTACAAGATTTTGGGGCGGGGGGGGGGGGAGAGGGGAAGGGAACAGAATGTTTACTGCATTTCAGGGACAATATTAACTGCAGTATTGTTGCTATGTGATACTGCAAACTTGCTCATGACAGAAGGATTCTGCTCCTCCTATGTAGGACGCTCATGAAGACATGCTTATCTAAAGAAACCTAGTCCTTGGTATGAACTCAGTCTGGGTTCAAATTCAGCATAGATCAAAAACACCAAAGTAGTGATGTCTTCAATGACTATTTAAATATGTTGCCACTGTTCTGGTGTTCCTTTCTTCCTTGGTTGAATGTTTATTTGCAGGGGGTTGGTGTCTCTATCTTCTTTCCATCCAGAAAGGTGGGTTTTAGGCTAAAAAAGTGCCCCTTGATGGGAGTGCCAGTCAAACTCCTTCCCTATGGCATTTCATGACCAGTCTTACCAAATGCTATAAATTGACCAGCATTTTAACACGTGGAAAGTCTCTATCCCTTTCACTTTTAATCCTACATGCTCTGGCAGCCACCAAGAGTATATAACTTCGATTTTAGCCTGGTCAGCTAGTGAGTGCTCTGCTGGGAGGTAGGGAGTGCTAGAAAGAGTTGGTACCACACTGCTCCACCTCCTCTTGCTGGGAATCTGCACTCCTGGGCTGACCTCTTGCTCCTCTGGGTGGGCAAAACGAGCATTAAGCTAGTGGGGAAGGAGCAGCAGATTGAGGGCGATTTCCTTTGGGTCGGGTAGGAAGGATTGCGTAGGCCTTTGATATGTGAGTTATGTGGAACTAGCTCTGACTGTCTGAGTCCTCCCATGGGGATGGGATGCCCTGAGGGAACCTGGGCTACATGCCAGTGATTAGAACTGCATTCTGAGCAGAGACTTGGCTGCCCAAGGCATAGAGGCTGAGAAGGTGACAGCAGCTGATAATTGCCAGGAAGGCAGTAAGGATGTGGGCAGAGGCCATATGAGCTATGCATGCCAGAGCAGTCTTGGAAGTCTCTCTTTGACTGGAAAGCCTGGCAAAGGACCAGTTCATTTGGTGTCACTACACAGTCTGCCTAAAAGCTTCTACATTGCCCTCTGGACCTTTGGATTCAGGTGCACTCCTGCTGCCTGATGAACTGGCTAACTTGTTGGTGAAGAAACTAAACTTAGCTGCAGCCCAGGGCTAAAGCTCTGTTGGCTAGAGAGGGGGTTTGGGGCACATGCCATCTTCTAAGTGGCACAGATGGAGGAGTTCCATTCAGTCTGTCTCTGGCAGAATCTTATTTCCACTTCTACAGTAGCAGAGCCCCAGTAATGCAGGAAAAACAGGAGTACTTGTGGCACCTTAGAGGCTAACAAATTTGTTTGAGCATAAGCTTTCGTGGGCTACAGCCCACTTCATCGGATGCATAGAATGGAACACACAGAGAGAAGATATTTATACATACAGAGAACATGAAAAGGTGGAAGTAGTCATGCCAACTGCAAGAGGCCAATCAATTGAGATGAGCTATCATCAGCAGGAGGAAAAAAAAACTTTTGAAGTGATAATCGAGATGACCCATAGAAAGTGTGAGGAGAACTTAACATGGGGAAATAGATTCAATTAGTGTAATTGAATTGGCTATTAGTGTAGCCCATGAAAGCTTATGCTCAAATAAATTTGTTAGTCTCTAAGGTGCCACAAGTACTCCTGTTCTTTTTGCGGATACAGACTAACCCGGCTGCTACTCTGAATTAGTAATGCAGGAGAATCCCGTCTCCTGCCAAGCCTGGGTAGTGGAGTGGGCTTTGTCTGCACAACAAGCTGCATGTGGATTTGCTGTGATACACTCCAGGGACTGACTTAGGGTCTAAATAACTGATTATCTTGTTTAATAAATACATTGCTGATGGGGAATTCTTCAGTCATTGAGGTGAGCAGAATGAATTGTTAGGACTAATGCCATCTATCTTCCCTGCAGGCTGGATGATTGCAATCTCTCTGCTAGTCACTGTAAGGATATTGGCTCTGTCCTCAGTTCAAACCAGACCCTGACAGAGCTAACCCTGAATAACAATGAATTGGGAGACTCAGGAGTGGAACTGCTGTGTAAAGGGTTGATGACTCCAAGCTGCAACTTACAGAAACTCTGGTAAATCTCAGACTGGTGGTTGTGTTGCACTAGAATGCTTATCGGTCTTTATCAATGCATTGTGAGTAACTAAACTCTTGGGCCAGATCATCAGCTGAGGTAAATAATGCATCTCCACTGACTTCAATGGAGCTATGCCCATTTATTCCAGCTGAGGATCTGGCCCTATATTTACTGTACTCTGTAAACGCCTCAGAAAACCCTGAATTCTTATCAAATGGCTTCTCATTTATTGGTAGGGAAAGTAAACTGATGCAACTTCAAACACTTCCTGAGTAATGACTGGAAGAATCTGATCTCTAACTGGACTAGAAATGGCTGACTTTTCCCAGCTCTGATTATTTGGCCAGGGCAGCTCAAGAAAGAGCAAGAACCACTTGTCTATAGCAGCTTTTAACACCTCCCAAATACCACCCCCTCCAGTCTTCAAAGAGAACTCTTTCAATAGCTACATATATTTGGGGCTTTAATCTGTTCTGCTCACTTGTTTACCACCAAGACTATAGTACATAAATGGATCTTGGCACTTCAAAGACCAAGATAAGGTCTAGACAGCTGGCAGCCACCCAGGGTTTACCTTGGCGGGGAATGGTTACAAGGCTGACTTTTGGTCACTCCACAGTTCTGTGGGCTTCAAACTTCACGTGTCCTCTAGTGAGAAGAGCAATTTAAAAAAATTGCAGGCGAGGGGAGCCAAAATATTAAGTAAATCAGACATCTTGTTTTTAAGATAGGCCTTGTAATAAGTGGATCTAATACTTTCCCCAAGAGGATGGAACACTAGTTATTGAGTCACATTTCAAATAGTTTCTTTTTAAACCTCAAGTTTCTCAAGAGCGCCAATCACAAATTCATTAGCTTCTCTCCTAAACTAGATTGCTTGGGTGGGTGGGTGGGGGTGTGTGTGGTGGCTTTTTTTTTTTTTTTTTTTGTGTGTGGGCAGTTCAGTGCATGTTAAACATCCACTGTTTACCTAGGTCTATGTGTTAAAGATTAAATCAGAAACATCGAACTTTTCTAAAAAGCAAACTTCCATACAGAACTCCATTAAGATGTTGTACAGGTTGTTGGCTCCTCTGAGTGATTTAAATCAACCCCCCTTCCTGGTAATGTTGCAGCTGTCATGCAACTACTCCTACCAGAAACAGCACTGGAGAGAGACCTTTACCTGCTCTCAGTGGCAGCAGACGACTGATATGTCCTGCAGGATACAGTAGTTAAATATCCACAGTGTAACACCTACACAGCAATGGGGGATGTAAGCCAATATTTGGCTTAGATTTTTATTTTTGACTACTGTGCCCTCGCTCTAGGGAGTCAAAGAAAGGTAAGATTCCCTTGTTTTTTAGCTGGGAATAGCCTTTTGTTGTCTTAGACTTGTTCTATGTAGAACAACATTGCTGCATAGATACATTGGAATATTGTCATTATTTAATGGAAGAAATTCTCTTCTCTGCTATGGCTGCTGTACAAGAAGTTATTAAAAAAACATGGAAGCCCCTTGTTACTGCAACTCTAAAACTAGCTGATTAAAATTTTTTATTGAGGCAGAGATGATTGGGTCTGGCCTTATCATAGTATTTAGCTTGGCATGTAATAATTTTGGTAGAATTGCAGATGCTTTGTAAAGGCACTGAAGCATAATACACTACAGCACTACAATGGATTATGAAGCCAAATAGTGGAGGATACACCAGTCTCTGAGGAGAACATGGTGAATTCTGAGGAATTCTATTCCTCATATGCCGGTTTCTTTTCTCCCTCAGGCTGCAGAACTGCAATCTAACAGATGCCTGCTGTAAGCATCTCCGTTCTGTTCTGAGCACAAAACCAACTCTGACAGAGCTGCAGCTGGGTGATAACAAACTAGGAACTTCAGGTGTAAAAGTGCTGTGTGAAGGATTGATGGATCCCAACTGCAAGCTACAGAAGTTACAGTAAGTAATCACTGGCCTCCTTGGTTCTTTCATGGATGCTTGACATTGCAAGGTGCTAGACAAAACTCAGGTGGATGGGTAGGTTGGGAGTGGAGTTCTGTCATCTCTCGTAACCAGCAGTAAATTTGCCTCCAGCTGCAAAAAAGTGAATATCTGCAGGGAGGAAATATCTGATAAACCATTTTAGTGGGGATTGGATGGTCCCAAGGCCTTGTAATGTTGTGGCCTGGTCTCTAGTCTGACCACCTCAGTATAGCCCAGATTGGTAGTGACCAAAAGCTGTTCTCATTGGTAGGTTGAGTGGTTTCAGCAGTGCTCCAAATCTGTGTTGTTCACTTTATTTCCCAACCACCTGCTGTATGGTTCTCAGTGTTGCATTCATTGGATCATCGGGATATGTTCCATGGAGAATAGTTTGTGACTATTCAGACAAATTTGGTGGTTTTAATCCAATTTCCAATGGATAGGTCTCCATATCGAAACCACCTTTGACTGAGACCCTTGTTTAGCAGAGGCCAGGAATTAACTGGGCATGAAGAATTTGCTGCTTCCTTCCTCAAAAGGACAAACTACCACCCTTTGTCCTCCAGTTTAACCATCTACTTCTCACAGAGTTATGGATGGTTAGTCTGGCTCTTCCCATAGCCATATTATAGGGAAGGTGAAGTGGGTAGAGATTAGGTGCATGCCATTTACACAGCACTTTAGCTCTTGTCCACTGCAAACAATCCTCTGACCTTACTTAATAAATAGTGGTAGGTGCCTATCAATGCAGAATGACCTGGATGTTCTTTGATCAAACCCCAGTCAAGAACAGGGAGCACAAACTTGTTCCATGACCAGCAGGAGTGCTGCTGATCAGTTTATTGCTTTTGATTCTGGTCTCTAAGACTGTCTGGTTTCTGATCGGATTCTACTAAAGGCTACCAGTTGGAGAAACTAACTCTTCTCCTCCTTTAGAAAGACATAGCAGTGGTGGTCGTATGCTCTCTTACAATTCAAGAATTAAACAGTGGTTGTCAGCAAACCTGCATGCAATCTTTATGAAAGGCTTACTATTGAAACTGAGCAGATACCCCATCTGGTGATGCTTTCAAATCAAACTGACTGAAGCCCCCTGGCAATAGCATGGAAGTGCTATTAAGTTAGTAGCTGAGGTTTGGGGACTCTTCCCCCTCCCCCCCATGAAAAGCCATGAGCAATCTATATATTTACTCTCTGCTCTATCTTCCTGTCTGGTCTGTGGACAAGATCTCCACGCTGCTGACATAAGTGAGCTGAGTGGTATGATGAAGACTCCTATTTTGCTCTGGTTTCTTCTTTTTTGCAGGTTAGAGTATTGTGAACTCTCACCTGACAACTGTGAGATGCTCTGCTCTGCTCTGCGCACAAAGCCTTCCCTGAGGGTGCTCAACATAAGTAACAACAAACTGGGAGATGCAGCAGTAAAAGTGCTGTGTCAGGGATTGATGGATCCCAACTGTAACTTACAGTCACTACAGTAAGTAACAGTTAGTTCTCTCCAGTTCTAACTCTGCTCTTACAGAGACACACCGCTTTCTTGTTGCCAGGAATACTTAAGAAATTCTGTGGCTTATCCAGGTACATCTCTGTTGCCATGAAAATTGCAAAAACTCTCCTGGCTTAAATTCTGCTTAGTGCTTGATTCAGGGAGCTGGCTTTCACTCTTCACTGCATGGTAATGGCAGTGGTGTCACTGTGGACCAGACTTGCAAAGAAAATGTCCGATGGCTCCTATGTGGGAGTGGGGAGGGGAAGCTACTATCCCCCAGCTCTAGCTAGTCTCCCACCAGTTACTATCCAACTAAGTCTGAATACTGCTTCAGAATAACAAAGCGCACGTCTCTTCAGAATGGTGTGCGGCAATACACTCCTTGCCTGGGGTAAAGTCCATGGAGACAGTTTGGTGCAAGATCTGAGTTTCCTGCCCCCATCTCGATCTGCAGAGCACTCCTGTTCTAAGCGCAGTATAGGCTGCAGAATCAGCTTATAGCATCAGCTGGAAGCCATGTGGAGGCTCAGTGTGTCTGCAGCAGCAGGAGTGCACCGTCCCAGCATGGTTCTAATGGAGTTATGGTCTCAGGGACTCCCCTGGCTCTGTCTGTCCCCAGGACTTCCTTAAAGAGGGATCCTCAACATAAAGAGGTGACTTGTCTGGGCCTCTATCGGTTACATACACAGTATGTGGGTTTAATGAGCACCATAGTGCCCTAAAGGAAGGGTGATGCAAACTGTTTCTTCTGGGGGAATAATGGGCCAGATCCTCAGCTGGCATACCTTCACTGAACTCAGTGGAGCTGCACCAATTCAGACGGGCTGAGGACCTGGCCTGCAATCTCTCCTCCTGATTGTATTCAGGATGGTAGATGTCCTTTAATACACTGACGTATGGAGAAGCAACTGTTGAATTTTGATATGATTCTTCTATTCTCCACAGTCTGGAGAACTGTCGTATCACGGCTGCTAGCTGTGGGGATCTCAGCACTGTTCTTGCTAGGAAGCCATCCCTGACAGAACTGTCTGTGGGAGAGAACAAGATTGGAGATCCAGGTGTAGCACTGCTGTGCCAGGGACTACTGAATCCCAACTGTAAAATAGAGAAGCTATGGTAAGGGACACCAATGGCTACTTAACATCTGCACAAATTGGTATCCTCTAAGTCATCTGTATTTATTATGCTGGCATGATCTTGCCCGATATGTAGAGTTTCTCAGTCAACAAATCCCTTATGAAGCAGGGGTGCACCTCAGACCCCTTCTCTCAGTGAGGGTTGGGTGAAGAACACTACTGAATAGGCAGGAAAGCACAGTGAGGTCAGTAAATGATCAAATTCTTGGAAGAAGGGCATGACAGAACGCTGCTGTAATGAATATTCAGTCATTCTGTTCAGTTTTCTGTACAACACTGTGTACCCAACTTACCTTCTGTATTTTTAAAAAAAGGAGATTTTCATCTCTAATGCAGGAAAGGGGAAGATGTGAGAAGGCTGCTTACACAAAAGGAACTTGTCAAGTAAATGTGCGTGCATATAACAAGCCTCTTAGAGTTAAAAAAACAGACTCTACTGTTCTGCATTTCTACTGCCCTGGGTAAAAATAGGATTCACCCCAGATCAGCATATAAAGTCTTCAGCAAATCTTGAAGAATCCAATATTCCTATTGTGTTCCTCAGGTTATGGGAGTGTGGTGTCTCACCTGCTGGCTGTAAGGATCTCTCCCATGTCCTCAGTACAAAAGAGTCCCTAACAGAGCTGAGCCTGATTGGTAACAGGTTGGGAGACCCAGGAATGGAGCTACTGTGTCAAGGACTGAAGGATCCAAAAGCTAAACTCGAGGCACTATGGTAAGCTGCTGCTGGCTTCCTTTGCAATGTTCACTGTCTTAATTTATTATTTTTATTAACAAAAATAACTCTTCTACACTAGGCAGTGCCCACACAAACGTCCTAACTGATTCAGGTCCTCTAAGGGTGGTGTGGTTCTTCTGCTTAGCAAGGCCCCAGAGGGATTTTGGAGCATAGAGCCCATTGAAGTCAATGGGACTAGTGCTCCTAAAATCCATAGGTAACTTTTTTGAAAGGTCATGGGGCAGATTTTTCAAAGTCTAGGAAACTGAGCATCATCAAGTTTGAACCCACCCATTAAGTATAATCCATTCAGTGACTTGGAAAAAGACGTTTGACAGGGCAGCTTTAACAGCAAATTAGATGTTGTGGTCTGCTAGTTTACTGTTTTTGTATTGGATTCCTAGCTTTCCCATGGCTTTCTATTGCTCTAAAGCCTGAAGGCTTGAGCTCTAAATCCCACCAAGTGTTTCGGGATTTCTCCTGTGGTAGAGGAGAGGGAGTGAATTTGTTCACCGAGGAAAGCTATCGCCTTTAGCAATGAAGGAAATCTGTCTGCTAGCTGCGATATGAATATACATGGCTCCCCCTTGAAAGGGTTTAAAGAAGTCAGTACTCTGACTGATGGTGGCAATTTTAGTCAAAGTGTAACAACAGAAGGTCTTCCCTACATCAACTTCTCTTTTCCCACCTCTATACTTACCTGGTGTAACCTTCCAGACCTAGGTCCTCTGGCATCACGTGATCTGGGGTAGGAAGAGAACTGCCCCTTTGTGTGACGGTTTAACAAGTGAAATAAACCTTTCCTACTATCTAAGCCAAAAGGATCTATGCGATTCATCTGTTTACACGGATAGGTTTTCCTCACCCTCACATTCACCTAGCAATAGGTGAGGTGCCTCCTGTGTTGAAGGTGAATGGTGGTATGTCTCTCAGGCTAGGTCTACACTACCCGCCTGAATCGGCGTGTAGAAATCGACCTCTCGGGGATCGATTTATCGCGTCCTGTCGGGACGCGACAATCGATCCCCGAATCGACGCTCTTACTCCACCAGCGAAGGTGGGAGTAAGCGCCGTCGACAGGAAGCCGCAGAGGTCGATTTTTGCCACCGTCCCTACAGCGGGGTAAGTCGGCTGCGATACGTCGAATTCAGCTACGCTATTCGCGTAGCTGAATTTGCGTATCTTAAATCGACACCCCCCCCCCCCCCCCGTAGTGAAGACGTAGCCTCAGTGATCCCATTCAGAGTGAACTAATCTCGCATGCAGCTATGTGCCTCAAAAGAACAAAGGTCTTGCATTCTTTGAGGTGGGGGACATAATCTTAGTGTGATGCAACAGGACAATTGAGCCTCAGACCTGGGGGAGTGGATAAGGACATGGGTGATTAAAATAGCACATCTAATCACTGATGGCAAAGGACAGAAGGCCCAGACTTCACTAGGAATGTGGTCCCACCCTTCTAAATAGCTCTAATCACCAACATGAGGGGGAGGACGTGAGGCATTCAGGAGAGGTCAGCAGTGGTAGAGGTTAAAGATGGGAGAGGAAGACACATTAGATCATTCAATCAGTCTTTCAGCTCCTGAAGTTCTGGTTGTTTCTTTGCATTGCAGGATAAGGGAATGTGGTCTCACAACTGCCTGCTGTAAGAGCATTAGCTCTGTTCTTGGCACAAACCAGACCTTGAGAGATCTGCATATGGGTGGAAACAAGATAGGAGATGCAGGGGTTGAAATTATCCGTGAAGGACTGATGAACCCCAACTGTAACTTACGGTCTCTATGGTAAGTAACTTATTACTCTTTCACTTGCAGATATTGGTTGCCCAATAAAGAATGGGGGTGGATGGGGATAAGGCATCGAGGCTACAAAGAAACAGTTACAAAATACCAAATTGTTCCAACTGAGAACTGATGCTCAATTATAGCAGTCATGGCTGGGAACAGAATGCTGTTGGCATTCATTGGAAGACCGTCTCCCTTGAAGTCCTCATTTCCCACAGATTCTTCCTTGTACTTAAAACTGGCGCTTTGGTAAGAACTAGCAAATGTTAACTCCAATGTTGTCTTTGGGGTATAAGCCACACTAACTAAAGGGGAGCTGGAGGAATCTCCCTAGGGTCAGGCTATCCCAAACCTGCCGATTGCAGGATTTGTTGCACCTTCCTCTGAAGCAGCAGGTACTAACCACTGTCAGATGTCATACCTGGCTAGATGGTGTCAAGTATCCAAGGGTAGCCGTGTTAGTCTGTATCTACAAAAACAACAAGGAGTCTGGTGGCACCTTAAAGACTAACAGATTTATTTGGGCATAAGCTTTCATGGGTAAAAACCTCACTTCTTCAGATGCAAGTTGGATAGGTCTTGGGTTCCCTAGCACACTATCTACTGACAGATCACACTGGTGCGCACAAAAGAATGGAAACAAGATGTGGGGACACTAATCTTTTATGCAATTGAGACCTCCACTTGTGCAACATCAAATCTCACCAAGCCTAATATAGGCTTGCTTGATTTCCATCCATTAGCTGAAGAAGTGAGGTTTTTACCCACGAAAGCTTATGCCCAAATAAATCTGTTAGCCTTTAAGGTGCCACCAGAATCCTTGTTCTGGCTAGATGGATCACTGGCCTGACCTGTATCTGGCAGTTCCTGTGTCCTACTGCTAGAGGACAAATCCTGACTTGGGTAACAAGTATGTGTTGCTTTCTTTGTGTACTTGTGAAAATCCAACACTGTTTCAGCCCTGCCAGAACAAGCAGCCAGTCAGTTTCAGTGTGGATTAGCAGAACTGTACACATCTGACTATCCGTAGCCAGTGACACTTCCCCCCCCTCCCCCCGCCCCCAAAGTCTGAGTACTAAACTTGCGTAAATAACTGGCTTAGTACTCCCAACACAGTGCTGCAGTGCAGCCACCTCCCCACCCCAATGCCACAACACTGGAATGGTACTCTATAGCTCTAGTTGCACCCAGTGAAGCCAAATGGGCAGGAGCCATGGAATCACGTGTGGCTACCATGGATGCTTTAGTTATGGCTTCTAGAACCTGTAGGTTAGACTAGAAAGCCTCTGTCTCTCAAGATCCTTCTGCTGAGAACCAAAGCCAATCAGCTTCTGAATGGGAAGGATTGAGGGCCAAGAGGTCACTTGCCTTCTCACAGAGGTGGACAAGCAGACTGGGCTATGAGTTTGACTGGGTGACATCTGAATCTCAAGGCCAATAGATGTGTCAAGTAACCCAAGGGGTGTTCTCTTAATTAAGGTTCTAGCACAATAAACGTAGTTTAGCTACTCCTGTGTTTACTGAAGTACTGGTCCTTCCAATAGCCTTGGCTTCTTCAAGGCACTCTTTCAATTTGCCTTTGTTCTTTATCTGTAAATAACCCAGTAATAATATTCTGTAAACGTTGTTTAGTCTGGTCTTCATTAGCTTGGTCACCACCTGTAGCAGTGTAATAAGGAGAGAGAATAGCCTAATGGCTCAGTCTGGCTGCAAAAACTCAATTTTTTCCCTACAACAGATTCACCAGACTGTTTGGTCTGCAAGTTGGATAGGTCTTGGGTTCCCTAGCACACTATCTACTGACAGATCACACTGGTGCGCACAAAAGAATGGAAACAAGATGTGGGAACACTAATCTTATGCAATTGAGACCTCCACTTGTGCAACATCAAACCTCACCAAGCCTAATATAGGCTTGCTTGATTTCCATCCATTAGCTGGGAAGGGCCAGATTCTGTCCTCTGTTACACCTGGCGTTTCCATGTAGCAGAGGACAGAATTTAATCATGAATATCTAATGCTGCCCCAAGTCTTGTATGGTGCATCCTGCAAACAGATGGCAATGGGCTCTCTCTTTTTCTTTGGCTGGAGCCAGAAGAAAGGGATTGCCTACAACAAGTAGTCACAAAGGGCCCTGAGCACTGGTGTCTTTAGAGGGAGCACATGCTTCATGTAAAACACATAGGATAGCTTATGTGCCAGCCTCTGAAATGGTAGAAAGACACATGACAAGTGGTATTGCTGCCTGCTGCAGTCCTGGTTGGGATGTCTGAACTCTGGTCTGTTAGGAGTAAAGTGACTCTTAAGTCAGTATTCCTCTTACTTTGGCTTCTCTCTTTCCCTGCAGGTTGGGTAACTGCAGTCTCTCAGCTGCTTGTTGTGGGAGTCTGGCCACTATCCTCTCTTCCAAACCGAGCCTAACCGAGCTAGACCTGAGTAACAATTCACTGGAGGACGAAGGTGTGAAGAAGCTGTGTGAATCACTGAAACATCCAAATTGCAAACTACAGCAACTAGTGTAAGTGGTGCTCATTTTATATTCCCTCAGCATTGTGCTGGTGTCTTGGAATTAAAAGGAGAATGGGGGCTTCCAAGAGGAGACAGGGCAGCGAGCAAAGCCTGCTCTAAGGAAGTTAGTGTCTCGTGGGAATCCATGACTTCCTGCAGGAGGCAAACTTCTATCAGCTGTTTCAGGAGCTGCCTGCCCTTTTAAGGCTGTTTACCCATGCTCCTGACACAATGGTTTACTGCCTTGTCCCTAGAGACCAGACTAAGCTGTGACAGGGCAACAGAAAACACTTGAGCCTGGTCCTTTTAAGGCACTGTCCACATTGCAGCTTTAAATAGCTCACTGCCTGGGTGGTGTCCCATGCCACATAACCAAGAACTGTGGTGGCCAATCACATGGCCCCTGTCAGAAGCCAGCTCTTCCACATGGTCTCCCAGTAACTGGATTCACCTGGCTTGTCTGCCCCTCAGCTGGAGGGACTTGCATGAGCTCCTTATTGACACAGGTGACTGGGCTCTGGAAGGGAGTCTTGGTGGCGGGCTTTTATTTCTGTCCTTATTCCTTGTGAAGAGCCTTGGAAATGGGTTAGGGCTGGAAGGGACAAGCAAGTGGACGCCACTGCTGCAGTAGGAGGAGGTGGGGGGGAAGAAAGAAGAAACGTTTTTTATGTAAAGTTAGCCCATTCTGTCTGGGCCATATCCCAAAGAATTTCTTTGCTGACTTTCCCTTAAATCCTCTGACGTGACTTAGCCTGGGACTAGATGAGTAACACCCTCTCTTGTACCTGTAGCATGGACAGGCTCTTCGTCAATCTGTGGCTGAGACAGCTGTCCCTGTGTGACTGCATGGGGATGCCCCAGAATTGAAATAGCAGAACATAAAGGTCTTGTCAGTGGGACATTTCCTGTCCCTAACTCCTTCATGCTGTGAAGCTATTTTAATTCCATCTCCTGCTCTTTGACCAGACCATGACTAGGAACAGAGGAACTGCCATGTTGGATAAAACCCATGGTCTGTCTAGTCCAGTATCCTGTCTGACCGTGGCCAATATTAAATTAAAAGATACAAGGAAATGCACATCACAATGCATAAAAAGACTGAACTTCTCTGCCACAAGTAGTCATTGAGGCCAAGCCCTTGTCAGGACTCATGGGATTGGATGTTTATACAGATGACAAGAATATCCAGAGTTCCGATAAATGTTGGAAGAAGCATTAAACATACTGCTGAAGCCCATCTCTAACTATCAGAGATTAGGATGAGATCTATGTGGGGGGCAGACTATCTCACACCATTCTAATTCCTTTGATTCTTGCTCCTGTCAGAGAGGGGAATATTGGATTAGATCGGGGTGGGCAAACTACGGCCCGTGGGCCAGATCTGCCCCAGCAGCCATTTTACTCCAGCCCTCGAGCTCCTGCTTGGAAGAGGGTCTGGGGCTTGCCCCACTCCAGCCGGGGAGCAGGGTCGGAGGCTGCTCCACACAGCTCCCGGAAGCAGCAGCATGGCCCCCCTCCGGCTCCTATGCATAGAGACAGCCGGGGGCTCCACTCTGCACGCTGTCCCACCCCAAGCACTGCCCCCGCAGCTTCCATTGGCCAAGAACCGCAGCCAATGGGAGCTGCAGGGGCGGTGCCTGCAGACCGGGCAGTGTGCAGAGCCACCTGGCTGTGCCTCCATGTAGGAGCCGGGCGGGGACATGCTGCTGTTTCCGGGAGCCACTTGAGGTAAGCACTGCCCAGAGCCTGCACCCCTGACCCCCTCCTGTGCCCCAATCCCCTGCTCCAGCCCTGATCCCCCTCCCACCCTCCAAACCCCTCATCCCAAGCCCCACCCCAGAGCCCACACCCTGAACTCCTCATTTCTGGCCCCACCCCAGAGCCTGCACCCCCAACCAGAGCCCTTACCCCCTCCCACACCCGAACCCCGATTTTGTGAGCATTCATGGCCTGCCATACAGTTTCTATTCCCAGATGTGGCCCTCAGTCCAAAAAGTTTACCCACCCCTGGATTAGATGGACCATGGGTCTGATTCAGTCTGACAGTTCCTAGAGGCAGATGCTTCAGTGGATTGTGTAGCTAGACCATGCTAGGCAGAAACAAATCCAGTTGTATGACTCTCCTTCAATAGCCTTGCTAGCAACTTAATACAGCTGAAGGCTACTCTTGGTTTAATAGCTCTGCCTGAGGACTTTGGTCTTGAACCAGGACTAGCAGAATAGTAAAGGCCAATAAGGCAGTTTTGGCTCAAACCTGATTGGCTCCTTTTTGTCGTGTCTTCTCCCCAGAGGTGACTGTGCCTTGCTCTCCAGCACTCTTTGATTTGATAGCATGCCTGCTGAGACTGTTTGTTTTTTTTCTTTTCAGTCTGTATGACATCTACTTGAGTTCTGAAGTGGATGATGAACTGAAAGTCCTGGAAGAGTCCAAACCTGGACTGAAGATTATTTTGTGAACGGTGTAGTTTCAGATGTGACCATCTGCTGAGCACTGTCCTCTCCCTGTTTCTGCCTCTCTATCTGAACTCTTCATATATGCAGTTAACCAATGAGTTCAATGTAGAATGTTTTTACCACAAAAAAATTCATGGAATCTCTGCAGAATAATGTCCCTCAAGGGAATTGGCAGCCTGCTGTGTATTCATGAATGTATCAAATTTGAGGCTCATCAGAGCATCTCATTCCCCGAGGTAAAGAATACTAGGCATCTACAAGAACTGGGCCTTTAGCCTATTTAATGGATCAATCAAGATTTCTAGAAGTTTCCCTTCCACTTAAGAGCTGGCAAAAGCAGAACCACCTGGTGAATGTCTAGTATTCAATAGATGGTGCTTTTGCTGAGTTTCTGGGGGAAAGTATCCAGGAACAAAGCAAAAATATTGACACTAAAATAAATGAAAGTAATGCACTCTTCCTGGAAGAGGTCATTTTTTTCCCCTGGGAAAGTAACCTTAACAGGAGCCCCTAGACAAGGCTGATAAGAGTAGGTGCTCACTTAATACCGGACTTTCTTTCTCTTGAAAGAAATCTATAAAGCTTCTTTCTTACAAGTAAAAATGATGATGCTCTCTCTTTCTGCTAAACTGAAAGTGAGTAAATTCTCTGAATTGTTCTGGCAAAAGTAGCTCTGTAGAAATGTCATTCTAATAAAGTTTCATTGCAAAGAATGAGACTCTTATTTCTCTGCTTTGTTCAGAAAGTTACAGTACAGACCCGTTTATGCGCGGATGTCGGGAGTCAGGCCGTCACGACCGTGGGTTAAGAGGGCCATGCTGAAATAGCTTAAGATATCTGTATATACATGTATATACAATCTAGTATTACATACGTATTCACAGCGTCCCAAATACTGCAGGCCTATCTGTTAACGGCGCTTTGCAAGAATATAAATTTAAATGTGTAATCTAATAACATTACTACACAGGGGTGAAAGTAACTCAGGACACTTACCGGTACGGGGTGGGGGTGGCTCTGGGCCCCGGAAGGGGAGGGGCCTCAGGTGGAAGGGGCGGGGCTAGGGGTCCGCATCCCCTAGCCAGGCCTTCCTGGTCCGCGCTGCCCGGGGTTCTCATGACGATTTAAAGCCCGGGGCTCCAGACACCGCTGCTGCGGTAGCGGCATCCGGAGCCCCAGGCCCTTTTAAATCGCCGGTCCCGGGGCAGCTGCTCCCTTTTGCCCCTCCCCCCGGCCTGTCGGCAGCCGAGGGGGGCCAAAAAGGGCAGGGACCTTAAAGCGCTGCAGGGTCCTTTGCCGCGGCAGCACTTTAATGTTGCTGCCCCCCCCCCCCCCCCCCCCCCATCGGCGGTAAAGACATACAACACATTTCCGCTCCGCACTTCCTGTCGATTTCTATGTTCGTGAATTAGTGAGCAAATCTGTAGCGCTACATAGCAAGTTCCTGTACCGTGTGTTAACGAGTCTCGCATGTTAAATAGGTAGCACTGGGAGGCATGGTGCTACCGCATGTTAAGCAGATTTGCGCGTAAACGGGTCTGTACTGTATGTTTGATGCAAGTGATGAAGGGAAACTAAAGGTTGTTTGACCTACAACTTCAACCTACCTTTAACTGCTTTAAGGCCAATCTGTCTTCAGAACCAGTACGCTACTAATGGCTTTCCTTGATTTCAATAGAAATATATCAACTAGGCACACAATAAACAAGTGGCAGCAGGGAACATCCATGAAGAGCAAAGTGTGAAGCAAAGACTTGAGGCTCACAATGAGTCCTGTGGAAGACTGAGTGGAAAATAACTTGTTAGTACCCATTTGATAGTCTAGGTTTCGCTTTTTGATTTCTTTTCATAGAATCATAGGACTGGAAGGACCTCAAGGGGTCATCTAGTCTAGTCCCCTGCACTCATGGCAGGACTAAGTATTATCTAGACCCGTGGTTCCTGTGGGTGCCATGGCGCCCACCAGGGCATTTATGTGTGCCCGCCTAGTGCCCAGCAGGGGAGAGAAGCTGCGGCCCCATGCCTGCCGGGGACAGAACTCCGGGGCCCGCAGGCTGCGGGCCCCAGTGTTCTCTGTCCCTGGCAGGCACGGGGCTGTGGCTTCTCTCCTGCTCTGGGGCTGCAGGCTGTGGCCGCTGGTCAATTCTCTGTCCCCAGCAGGCGCAGGGCTGCGGCTTCTCAAAGCTGGAGAGAAGCCGCGGCCCCACACCTGGTGGAGACAGAGAACTCCGGGGCTGCGGGCGCCGGTGTTCTGTCCCTGGCAGGCGAGGGCCTGCCTAGTGCCTAGCAGGGGGGAGAAGCCAGGGCCCCACGCCTGCTGGGGACAGAGTACTCTGGGGCTGCGGGTGCCGATATTCTCTGTCCTCGCGGCTTCTCTCCGGCTTCTCTCTGCACTGCCGTCCCCCCCAAAAAAAGCTCCGACTCTGCAGAATGGATGGAATGCAGCCTGTAGCATGTGCTGCCCCAGGCACATGCTTGCTCCACTAGTGCCTGGAGCCAGCCCTGTATGTGAGTATTCTTCCTGCACTGATACTGCTGTTTTCTTGTGCTTTGCAATTTATTATTTTTTTTTTAACCTTTTTGCCTCAAAATGAGTGGTTCAAATAAAAGACAACGTACGTATTATTTCAACGCAGAGTGGGAAGAATCCTATTGTTTTATTGAAAATAAAGGGAAATGTGTTTGCTTATTGTACGGGGGTGCTGTTGCAGTGCCGAAAAAACATAATGTCGAACGCCATTTCCAAACTAATCACGGCTCTTTTGACATTTGCCATCCACTTAAATCTGAGTTGAGAGAGGTTTGATTTGAGTTGATTAATTTTCTTCTATCTGCCCAGCAATCTGTTTTCACTAGACAAGTGGTAAAGTCTAAAAGAGCTACTATTGCTTCCTTTAAAATTGCTCATCTGCTCGCAAAGAAGAAAAAACCCTTTCAAGACGGTGAATTGTTGAAGGAAGCATTTTTGACTGGTGCTGATTGCCTGTTTCAAGGATTTCCTAACAAGGGTGAGATTTTGTTGGCAATACAAGACTTGCAGTTATCGGACAACACAGTTACGAGGAGGATACATGCCATTTCAAGCGACATGCAAACTCAGCTAAAGGATGACGTGGAAATAAGTGACTGGTTTTCAATGCAATTCAATGAGTCGACAGATATATCGGATACAGTGCAGTTGGCAGTTATGGTGAGGATGGTATTTAGTGACTTCACCATGAAAGAAGAGTTACTAAAAGTATTGCCTATGAAAGGACGAACAAAGGGTGAGGACATCTATAATTTATTCAAATCATACGCAACATCAATTGGTATGCCACTACACAAGCTGTCTGCGATCACCAGCAATGATGGGCAGCGCCAATGGATTCATTGCACTCTGTAAGAAGAATGAATCCTTTCCGAACTTTGTCTTATCATTGCATTATCCACCAAGAAGCTTTGTGCATCAAAGTTTTCTTTTCAACACGTCATGAATGTCGTTATTAAAATAATTAACTCTATTCGAGCGAAACCTTTGCAACACCGACTTTTTAAGGCCCTATTGGAAGATGTTGATAAACAATCTGATCTTATCTTGCACACAGAAGTACGATGGCTGAGCACAGGTAAAGTTCTTGCAGGTTTTTTAAGCCTAATTGAAGAGATCAAAGAATTTCTGAAGTCCACAAATCAGAACTTCGAGCAACTAGAAGACTCCAGCTGGTTAATGGACTTGGCTTTTCTTGCCGACATCACTGACAAATTGAACATTTTAAATCTTGAGCTCCAGGGAAAAGACACACATGTGGCTCAAATGATAGGTTCTGTAAAATCATTCAAAGCAAAACTGATCTTGTGGATGTCACATATGAAGACGAAGTCTCTCATACATTTCCCAAGTATGAAGAAAATGGTATGTGACAGTGATTTTAACCCATCACCATTTGTTATCCACATTAAACACTTCTGGAACAATTTTGAAAAGAGATTTCAACAGTTCACCATCATTGAGCCTGTAGTTGCCTTTCTTGTGAATCCTTTTACTTGCCAAATTGATGTAGCCATTTCAGTTACCTCTATTGCGAGTTTCATTCAAGTAAGAACGGAAGACGTGGAACTGGAGATTTTGGACCTTCAAAATGATATTGTTCTAAAATCCTGTGCAACAGATGAAAACTTCTGGAATCTGGTTGACCGAAAAAAGTTTCCTGCCTTAAAATATGTAGCATACAAAATAAAATCTTATTTCGGTTCCATTTATCTATGCGAAGTTCTGTTTTCAACAATGATCATCATAAAATCAAAATACAGATCTCAGCTTACAGATGCCCATCATGACGATTGCTTACGAATGGGAATATCATCCTACTCTCCCAACTACGAAAGATTGGCTGCAGAAACGCAGTGCCAAAAATCACACTGACTTTATTAGAAAAACCACATGAATTAATGATACCTATTTTCCATTAAGTGCTGATGAGCGTGTATGATTAACTTGTGTTTAACTTTTTTTTCTTTGTTTGTTTATTGAAATCCAGATACAAGTAACAATACAAATAATACTTTTAATTAACCATAACTGGCTATCTATGTTAAAGTAAGAATAATAAATATATTTGGACCAGCAGTTCAACAATGTTTTACTTTTTTAAAATAAATAAGATGAAAATTGTTTATATTTATTTTTGTAAAAACTCCTTAATTTTTCTTACCGTAGATAAAAAAGAGCAAATTCACATGGTAAGGTGAAAGAGTAATTGCCGAATAACTTAATTTAATACCTTTTACTTGTAAAATTACCTTTTTTATCTTATGGATTCATATCTTATGTAATATTAAATATGTTTTTTGTATTATTTAATGTAGAAATACAAAATAAGCCTTGAAAAATTGTTGGCGCCCACCACACTCTTCTGAAAACATGAATGTGCTACTGGCCACAAAAAGGTTGGGGACCACTGATCTAGACAATCCCTGACAGGTGTTTGTCTAAGCTGCTCTTAAAAATCTCCAATGATGGAGATTCCACAACCTCCCTAAGCAATTAATTTTTCACTTTTGGCTTAAAAATAAATTGCCTGAGTGGAAAGTACAACTTCCTGTGCTGTTGAACCCCCCTCAAAAGACAGTGCACTCCAAA